CCCACCCCAGGTGAAGCTGTATTACATAGTGGCTACAGGCTCTGGAACAAGCAAATCTGATTTCAGCTCTGGTTCCTACCAGTTGTTACAGTGTGTCCTTGAGCAGGTTTCTCAGTCTTCCTGGGACCTCAGTTTTTTCTTTAAAGGAGATAAATAAAAAAATATTTATAATTCTACTGTTTATGGCTTAGAGGATTAGATGGAATACCACTTGAAAAGACTAACCACCAAGGATAACAGACCAAGTGTCTAGTAAACAGTAGCTACTGTTGTTTTAATCAGAACCTTTGAGACCCCAGACCTTTAAAGACAAGGGCGGGGGGGGGGGGGGGCTTATATGTCTTTAGCGCTTGAGTTTCCAAGTCTACCAGTAATAGCCAGAGAGAGAGTGTGACCTTGCATGGAAGTTGTTGAAAACAAAGTTTACTCATCTGTATTTTCATGAAGCACTCAGCTATGATGGTCAAACATAAGCAGTCACTGTTGGGTACTGAAAATAGAGGTTGAGTGTTCTAAGAAACACACAGAAATATGTACAATGTGCTAAGACAGGGGACATGGTGACTATCTTTGGTACTGGATCAGACATTTAGAACAGTGACTCCTAATTGGGTCTTCAAGGGTTGATAAGACAGAAAAGACAAGAGTCGTGCTTGGCCCCTGCTTCCAGTATTTTTGGCACGTGGCTTGCCTGCTGTCTCACAACCAGCTGGATTCTGGGAAGAAGTGGATAGGTCCCAGCCTCTGAGCAAATGCTTCTGACAGATCCTGATTCCTACTTTGCTAGAAAGCTGAGCTGTACATATCTTCTAACAGAAGACTGGCCAATATACAGATGAAAGCAAAGACCCTTCTGAAAGAAAAGGAGGCAAGATCCAGCAGAAACATGCACCAAAGAAGAAAAGGGGAATGGCGATCTCAAACACAGCAGATGAAGGAGGGCTTATTAGATTCTATGGAGACAAGTCACGGCAGGGCATTAGGGAGACTGCTGTATGAGACATGCATCCTTACGGGCGCTAGGACATGTACAGGATGTGGTATGTAACGGCCTCTCTCTCAGAAAGGGTACCTGCCTAAAGAACAAACAAGCAAACACTTAAAGTGTTCAGGACACAGATGCGGAAGAAGATGGCATGAATTTTTACCACCCCTCCCCTAGGTAGGATGAGGCAGGTCACCCAGCTACCCAGACACTTGTCTAGCAATAATCCTACAATACAAGATTGGAACATACAGCTTTCCAGGAAGAAATATATTTCATGGTAACCAAAAGCATCAGTTGAATAGAAAAGCTACCTCAGGGAAGGCGGCCAACCCGGGCAAGTGATACATGTAGAAAGTAGGCTAGACATGGTAACACATTTCTTTAATCTTTAATAAAAAGGCAGAGGCAGGCAGATCTCTATGAGCTGGAGACCAGCCTGATCTACACAGGAAGTTACAACTCAGCCAGAACTTAACCACAGGTACCACCTTTATTACTCCGTTACTACTACGACTAATCTATTACAAATCCTACTGGTATTATTTAATGTACAGTAAGGATTAAATAAAAGGATTAAAATAAAAGGATTAAGTGAAAATACATCATTTAAAGCATTCTAGTCACACTGCTCACCTTGAATCTACATCTTAACTTCTGGTGTATAATAAATCCTTGTGAGAGAGAAGCAAGCTAAACTGTACAAAGAATCAATCAGGAATCCAGGCCACTTTGTTAAGCATGCCAGTGAAATATAAAACAGGTCTTTCTACCAGGGTGAACGAGTCTTAAGAGACACAGCTGACAGATGCAATGTGTACTCCTAAAATTAACCACATCTTAAAGACATTTTAGAAGAACCCGAGGAATCTGAACATGAACTTATTGGCTTTAGGTATAATTTATGTGCCATTATGAACTATGTCAGAAAATATCCATTTTTTTTTACAAAGATATACATAATGAAATAGCTAAGGGTTGACAAGATGTTGTAGTTTCCACAAAAGCATTGTCTGAAAGAACTAGGGGTATGCACTCACATACACGAAATTTAGTAAGTCAATTTATCCCCAAACACACTATAGAAAAGTAGGAGCATGTACAGAACAATCAAGTCAGCTTGTGCCAGGGACCCCATGTCAGTATCAGTGCTGTCCAACCAGCAGGTCATTTTCTATGCTGGACTTGGCTTATGCTGTCAGATTCTAAAGTGATGGCTTTCGGAGATGGAGAAGCTGCCCAGGACAGCTCTTGGCCCACAACAAACTTAAAGCAATATGCAAATTCCCCATTAAGTAATAAGTACAAGTCTCAAAATCCACAAATCTCACTGGGAAAGTATCATGATTGATGACAGAGGCTGTCTCAAGAGCATATCCATGGAAGTCAAAAGTTCCATGCAAAAGGAACATTTCAGTGGTCTACCCCAGGCCAAACTAGGTTCTTCACGGATAGTCATGGTCCTGGTGGACACATAAGTATCAGATACTGGAATTTTTACTCCTTGATAGCAAGGCCTCTCTTTAGGCAGAACAATTATATAGATAATGGGTAAAGAAAAAAAAAAAAAAGAGGTAGAAAGGGGAAGAGATGGTATATAAAAATAAGCATAGACAGAAGTCGGCTTGGGGTCAGTGGCAGAGCACTTGTACCTGCAGAAGGTTCTAGGTTCAATCTCCAGTACTGGAAAAGGAAAGAAGGAAGGAGGAGAGGGAGGGAAGGAGGGGAGTCATGCAGCATTACTTTAAAACAGGATCCTGCTAGCAAAGTGAGGGGCAGAAGGGAGTTTAAGGGAGAATCACAATGAGGGTGGAGGAGTAAACAACAGGAGGATGAGACATAATGAACAGAACAGAGGAGGGTGGATACACGCAACAGCAACACAGGGAGACTGACGAAATGTGAAATGGCAAAGGAAACAGAAGGACAGAGGAGGCAGGAAGTACAAGACAGACAGCTGGTCAAAGGTAGAGGAGGCAGATTTTGGAATGACAAGAAAGAAATGCATGAATTTTTATCTATGTATTCAACTCACAAAAACTTACGCAAAGGGAATGAAGAGAGAGGGAAAAGGAGGGGGCGGGGCAGGTGCAAGGGTGAAGAAAGGTCAGCAGAGAGTAACAGACCCAGAACCTGCGGGGTGATGTGGAAGAAGGGTGCGGAGGCAAGAACCGCCAGTAACAGCACAAGCCAGATGACTGCACGCTTTGGAGTGCATGTTAAACAGGACAGACGGAATGCTGCTGTCAGTCTAGAAGTACGTGACTCAAACTGAACAGATAATATGAAAGTACTTTATTCGGGTGACATTTCTATGGTTGATGTGAACCATAACTTAAGCAAATGTCTGGGAAGGCAGAAATGTAACTTCACTGTAAAAAGAATGTGTAACCCCCGGGCCTTCCAAGCATTGCTGAGGGGCATTAATCAACCAACCCGGACACCCAGTTGCTCTAATGCCTACTCTCATCCATGGAGTCACTCTATAATAGAGACTGGCTTAAAGTTGTGGAGTATTTCCCACTCTTTCTTGTATCTAACCAGAACCAAAATAAGAGAGGATATTAACATAATTAATGTAGACAGAAATTTGGCTAGATAACTAAAAATATCTAAAAAGAACCAACAACCCACATCTCCCCCAACCCTCTCACCCCCGGATCTTAGCTATCTCGATTGTGGGCTACGCTGATTACAGTCATCTCATGCTGAGCTGCATTTCTGCTCTGCACTCTTGAAGACAAGAGAATTAACAGGTCCCTCTGGGATGCAAAGCTTTCCCAGGACACATGAGACTGACTGGCAGCTCACACAATAATTCTGGAATGCATGCATGCAAGGTTAAAACTCACACAGTTTTCCTGCAAAAGAAAACCCAACCAACAATGGTTCTTCAAAAGCAGACAAGGGCCTGAGAATTGGAGACTAGGAAGTCCCATGTTTTGGGAAGCCATGATCAAACACATTTTTATTTGTAATTTCTAATTTATCCAAGTGTTCTGTCACCCAATAATAAGATCTTATTTTTTATGAAAAATTTATTCCAAGATTTCAAGTCACAATGTCTCTTCATTTGCTTTCCACTGCTGTTATAAAGACCGTGGTCAAATGCAACTTATTTCATCTTACATTTTCAGGTAATAGTCCCTCACTGGTGGAAATTCAAGCAAGGCAGGAACCTCGGGGCAGGAAATGCATCAAGGCGGCAGAGGAACACTGCTTACTGGCTGGCTCTCCATAGCTTCCTCACCCTGCTTTCCTACAGCACCCAGGGCCACCATTTCAGGGGTGGTACTGCCTACAGTGGGCTGGGGCCTTTCACACGAGTCATTAAGAAAATGCCTCACAGGCTTGTCTATAGGCCAATGTGATGGAGTGTTTTCTCACTTGACATACGCAGGCTTGTGTCAAGTTGACCCCCAACCCACCCACCCACCCCCAAACAAAGAAAAAGAAAATCTCCCTAAGATGCATAGATCTATGGATCACGGGCTTGCAGTTTGAGGGAGAAAACAGGATGATGAAAATCAGATCACTAGGGTCTTCCTTTTATTTATGTTATTGCTTTTAAGTAAAACAATCAAAGAAACACTCTTGGACTTGGGGATGTAGCTCAACTGGTAGAATACTTGCCTACCGTGCATGAAGTTCTCAGTCTGAGCCTTAGGATACATAATTGGCATAGTGATACCTACCTGTAATCATAGTACTGGAGTTGAAGAGAGGAGTACTGGGAGTTCAAAGCCAGCCTGGGCTCCTTGAGACTTGTTTTCAAAAAAAGAAAAAAAACAACAACAAAACAAACAAACAAACAAAACCCCCAAAACTCCAGAAATACTGTCCCCCCTATGATACCAATACCTTATGATTAAGCCTACACGTAAGAGTTTGACACTCAAATATGAGTTTAATGTTTATACTACATAGGTTTGATTACCATACATATAGCGCAAACTACACCCCCATGAAGTACTGCATCAGGCAGTTTCTCAGGGCCTGCGGGGCAGATACTCACTATTTGGTAGAGTCAGATAACTGATATTCCCGCCGTCTATCGTAGCACTCCTGGATTCCAGGATCATTCCACAGGCTCTTTATTGCATCTACATATGGATTCTCAAAAGCAGACACCTTCTCCACATCGACCTCTCGAACCAACTGTGCATGAGCCTGTTGAAGAAACAAAACCAACAACCATCTGAACACTGCGTTGCTTTTCTGAGTCTTGACTCACAATTTATATTGTAAGCAATTCAAGAGATTGTCACAGACAGGTTTTCAAACCACTGAAAGAACAGCTGAATGATTTAACCGCAGTAATTCTTCTCCAGTCCAGCATATGCCATATTCCAAAATATTTACACCTGCCATCCCTACATTATCAGGTTGAGGAATCCAAGCCAGTTTTTCTAGCAATCAATAATAATGTGTCTTCGTTTATTTTTCTTTCCTTAGAGAGAATCCAGCCCCAAACCATCCCTGCAGAGGAACTCTGAAGCTAAAGTTAATTAGTAGGAACAGGAGCAAAGCTCCCACTACCACAGCAGTGGCCCTGCTCTAGGGGCCAGTGTGTTAACTGATTATCATAACCCCCAAACGGTTGGCAGTTATTACTCCCCCACTCTGACAACTTGTTATAATCACATACGTGCTGTCCTCAGCCCTTAAGGATGGTTACCACTATAGCAGCTCAGAGTCCTCACTAACAGTGGTCCCTACCTATCACTTTCAAATGGGACATAAAACCACTGAAAGAACAGTTTAATTATTTAACTGCAATAATTCTTTTCCAGTCCAGCATACGCCATATTCCAAAATATTTATACCTGCCAACTCTACATTATCAGGTTGAGGAATCCAGCCCAGTTTTCTAGCAATCAAGTAGAATTTTGCTATTTTCATTATACTATACTTAGCAAGAAAAAGACAGAGATAGTTAAAATTTTCAATGACATTAAGTAACAAAATTTCATTTATTTTCAAAGTAGCTACATCACTATTGTTTAATAACACTAATCAAAATAGGTTTCCCTAAATATGATATGTGCAAATTAGACATACATAAAAAATATGCAAACACAAATATAACTGATTAATTTGGGAACTGGAGGCAGATGGCTGAAAATTATTGAAACAATTCTGATTTTGTTCAAAAAAACCTAAACAAGGTTAGTTAATGTTTACATAATTACATCATGGCCAATTATTCCCTTCATCTAGTATTAAGCATAAACAATTGTTAATAAGTGCAATTTACTTGTGCCCTGTCTAGATGTCAATCTTCAAGTAGGAAAGCCATCTTTTTTATAATAACTAACTTTGACTTAAGGTTTTAGGAAGTTCAACATATTTGAGACCTAAATCCTCTTTGTTATCAGTTCTACTCTGACCAAGACAATTGGATCTAGTAACTGAAAAACCCTAGTTCTGGTTTGTCTCTCAACTGTTGAAACAGAACCCTGCAATTTCACTTTTTATATTCCGGCCCTATTTAGGCAATCTGGCTTGTTAACTACTAGCACTTTCATCAGCCTGGGTTCCTGCACCTGAATTCTATCCCAGGTGGAGCCTGCCTCACCACAGTTCTTTCAGAGGCTCTCATCTTTCTATCCAAAAGGCAGCCTCCGCCTCTTTTTTTTTTTTTTTTTTTTTTCTTTCTTTTTTTTCTGAGGCAGGGTTTCCCTGGGGAGCCTTGACTTTCCTGGACTCACTTTGTAGACTAGGCTGGCCTCAAACTCACAGCCATCCACCTGCCTCTGGCCTCCCTGAATGCTGGAATTAAAGGCATGCGCCACAACACCTTACTTAGAAGGCCTTTGCTATTCCTCTCTAAACTTTTAAAAAAGGATCTGTTCAGGTGCTGTGCCATATGTCATCACTTACAGCAGTGGATCACACCCTTTCTGATGCTGCAATCCTTTAAAACAGTCCCTCATGTTGCAGTGACCCCAACCATAAAATTATTTTAGTTGCTATTTCATAACTGTCATTTTGAGGCTGTTATGAATTGCAATGTAAATATTTGTGTTTTCTGTGAAAGGGTCGTTCAACCTCCAAAGGGGTAGCAACCTATAGGCTGAGAACCACCATTTTACAGGATGGCCACTATGATTTTCCTCTCCAAAAAATGTTGGTTTTGTGGACACAGATCTGCAATATTTTGTTCTATGTGGACTACTATGCCTTAGCTTATCTCACTTCTAGACTACATAGTGACAGAAGGACCATAAAGTTCTCATTTCTCTGGAGCTCAGCACAGAATAAACATGCAATAAATATTTAACTGCATTTAACATATATAATAATACTCATATATATTATAATACACATAATATATATAATATAAAAACAATGAGTACCTACAAGTCATAGTTTCTTTCAAGGCGATCTTCTATCTATTGTTACTCAGTTTCTCAGAATTATAGTGTTGTATAGTTAGTATCTTTTTCCCATAACATAAAAGTTCAAAGACAGGCTCAGCATTGTAGTATCACAGTTCACTACGGTGTGCTGGTAGTTAGCAGATATTCAATGAGTAATTGCCCACAGAACTAACACAAGGATGGGAGGAAGAGCGGAAATTAAACAGAGCTACAAATCAGCTAACTTCTGGCTCTAGCTTTAGCCACAGGATCACTTCTAAGCACAGAAGAAACTACTTTTGCCATTTTAAAACTAACGTTTCTTGTTCAGAAGATGAGGCAATTGAACCAAGTCAACAGGAATATCCTCTAGGCATGAACAGTAGAACTGTAAATATACCTTAAACATTAAAGGATTGACACTGTCACTGTTTTTTAAAAAATGCTATGTTTATTTTATGTATATGGGTAGTTTGTCCACAGGTTGGCTGTACTGTACACAAGCCTGTTGTTCACATAGGCCAAAAGATGGTGTTTAATCCCCTGGCACTGTAGGCAGCTATGAACCACTATGTGGGTCCTCTGTAACAGCAGCAAGAGTTTCAATTGCTGAGCCATCTCTCCAACCCCAACACTGTCCCTTTTTGACACAGCCTTCAGTAAAACTGGATTCGCTATTTTAGCCAACAATCGAATGAAATCTGTACATGAGTACTGAAATGCAGTATGTACTGAGAGCCAAATGGGATATCAAAGACAAGAGAGGCATTTGCTGGCAGGGGAAGATAAAGCATGTGGATCTGAGGAGGAATGTGATAATGCTCAACAGATAAAAACAACTGAAAAACAGATTCATTCAAATAATCTCTATCTGGAAAGCCTTGAGATTTGTCACCATCATGAACCCACAACTCAGAAGTCACCCTGCAACATCTACAAAACCCCCACCACAGCAACCACCATGCTGCCTTCATGCAGAATAGAATTCCTAAGTTACTTTTATTACCTTCCAAATTCAGAACTTTATCCTTGATGCTTTCAAAATGATTCAAATATAATCAAGTATAATTTGCATTTATGTAAAAGTCTGCAAATGAAAACTCAGAGTTATTTAAAAATTATGATGGTATTTTACAAAATATGCATAGAATTAAAAATTGTTGATATAAATGTCCCACTGTAAATGTAATCCTCATTATTAAAAAAGTTCAACATAAAGATATTTTAATATGTTAGGGTAGATAAATTATAACCTTTATTCTATTTCCCAGTATCAAGTGTGAAATAGTAAAAATTTTAAGTAATGATGCTAAATTAAACAATTTAAAAAGGCTACTTTTAAAAGGCTATTACGAGAAGGAAAGAAGTCACTTCTAATAATGTAATAAATAAGAAATTAAATTAGAGTTGACTTCTGTATTTTGAACACTGCATAGAAAAGCAAGGTGAGTTCACTAATCATATAAACAAAATGCAAAATTAAATCTCTTTTACTTTAAGACAGAGTTGAGCACTCTGGGCGGAAAGGATAAGAATTGATGTTAGCGTGCAGAATCTAAGCATGGTAATGGCAAGAAGCAATTAGCTACTTTCAGAACTTCTGGCAAAATTCTAGGGAAGACCACAGCGAAACCACAAGATGTACCAGTGTAGTTCAGGTCAATCTTGTGTGTTGACATTTCTCTGGTCGTGTCTGCAGCAAGGGGAAGCGAGGACCTACCAGAGCAGGTCTCTCCCTACCCACTGAAGGCAAATGTGCAGATTACAGAAAGAGGGTCTCATGCTCTGAGAAGGATTTTCAAAACGTCAGGAGAGCTTCAGGCTATTCTAGCTCCTACACTCCAGAAGTGGAAAATCAAAAGGTAACTTCCACATTTGCTGAGAGCCTACAGACACAAATATTGTGGTTTGTCTTCAGGGACATCCACTACAAATAGGTACTCTGAATCACAAAGAGCAGGAACTTCAGTCAACCAGAGTCCACTTTAATTCTCAACTGTGACTCAAACCATCTTTCATTTTTCCCCTTGTTGATTATTTCCTTTGGCATCTGAGTCTTAAAAAAGCACACACAACAAAACTGCAAACAAAATGTATCCTAGTGACGTCTTGATTGGTTTGGTTTTTCTGCTCAGAGGAAAGAGCACCATGACAGCTTCTGCTACTTGGTGCCAGCTCAGGATGACCTTGTTTAAGCTGCTAAACATCTTCTAAACTTTTTTCCAAATCCCCCAATCCCTCTCGATTTTAGCCAGGAATTATGATAGCATCTGCTGCTCTAAAAGGCTAAATTACAAATTCTTCGGGGCAGGGCTCACACCTAAAGCTACTAATGAATTCCAAGTTTAAAGGAAAGGAAACTTAAGACCAACACCATGAACCTTGGCACATGCAAGTATATGAGTCCCTGTGACCTCAGGCAAGATGTTTAAATATCCTTTGGCTCAAAGGAAAACCATTTTGGAAGCTCAGTGGATACTAGATCTCCGAAAGGCTCAACATTTGCAAATACCCTGAAAAAAAAAAAAACCTGGCTGTAAACTCATTATCAGGAGGCTTCACCTGACTCTTCAGCTGCACAGCTGAGCTCTTTAGGGCGTGATTGCTGCTGCATCTTTTTATGAGTATTACTAATCCAATGACAGAGAAAGAGAAGTCACACTGAGCGACTGCTGGCTAGGATCACGCCATGAATGACTCATTCACATAGAACCACTTCCCCATGCTTTTGATTCAACTATTGGCCAAGCAAAACTACAAGTTACTGTAAAACAAGGCCCTTGTCCTTCCTAACCTTGATATTAGATG